ACCTGGAAAACTGACTAGTCTACTATGAGCCTTAGGACTTACAAGTGGAAGGGAAAATTTGGAGAAGACATTAAGAGTTGATCAAAGATCAGGATATGGGAGACAGCCACATCTGCACTCTGCTGTGGAGCAGCAAGCACCTGAGATGTGCCCAGTGCTGCCCACACATTACCTCACGCACATGCTCAAATGACTCCGCACATTCACCAGAGGCTTACTGAGCTACTACAATGTGCCCACCTCCAGGCAAACATCATCACTTCATCTGCTCACTTAATCTTTCCCAAAGCCACCATGCTTGCTATTGTTGTTGGTTCTGTTTTACAGTTGATGAAATGAAAGGTCAGGATATTAAGTTGTCCAAGGTAGCATAATTAGGTCACAGAAGAGCCCGAGTCCAAAACCCTAATATTATTATTTTGTATTATTTCAGAGTGCACGTAGACTCTTAATCACTTTCCCCTCCTGCATGGAATGGGCTTTAAGATACCCATTTTACAGAGAAGAAAACAGACTAAGAAGAGTTAAATTACTTGTTTGACATGACACAGGTAATAAACTAGCAGCATTCCGATTCAGGTCCAAGTAGCATCTGTTGCCAAAGACTGTGTTGCCTCCAATACAGGGGAAACCCAGCAGGAAGCGTTTGGCTGGTATTGGTTGCCTTTCTAAGGCACCCTCAGGGATGTCAGCGTAAAGAAGTCAGTGCTGACCACAAAGGATTCTAAAGATCAAAGCTGGTATTTTAACAGAGCTTGGACAGAACACAAAGCATAAAGGCACAGGGTTACAGAAGCATTAGTAATCCAGCTCTGAAGAGCCAAGGCAGATATGCAGGCCACAGTGGTTTTTTCCTTCTTCAGAAATTTCTACCTGCTTATGATCTAACCAACAGGGGCATTTTCTCTTCACACCTTTTTCTCTCAAATGCAGATAATTCGTAACTAGCCTTGCAATAGATAAAAATGCCGAGGTGCTTTGAAACCTGTAAGGTGCCAAATACATGTAAATTACTGTTATTCTTAATACCTATGCCTCTTCTAGCCAGAATTCATCATTCATTACTAAAGTTCATATAACATTTAATTTGCCTCCTTCCTGCAATTTCAGTGATGATTTTCTGCCTGGTGTCATGGGTGTGCGGGTGTGGGTGCCTGATCCCGTTAGACCTGTGTGTTTTCTGAAGTCAAGGGCTGTGTCTTTTTTTATTATTACCATTTTTGATTTAGGGAAGGGTCTACAGAGTTTTCAGGGTCTCACTGCTAGATCGGACTCATAGTGATCTGTCTGTTTATAGCCTCCAAGAGCTGGGATTACAGGCACATGCCGCCACTCCCAGTCTCAATTGCCATCTCAGCATGCCCTAGGGGCAGGGCCAGCATAGCAGGCCTGGAGATCAAACCCCTGGCCCCTGAGCCTGCTTGCAGGTGCTTTATCCACTGAGCTATCTGGCCAGCCCTAAGAGCTGTGTCTTAAACTCTTTAGCATCCTCACAGAGCTCTTCAGACTCTGACTTGAATTGTTGTTAGCTGACTTACACCTGAGTTACACGATCCAAGTGGTACTTAGACTGTTACAAACTGAGGAGGATCTAGGTGCAGTGACACACGCCTGCATCCTAACACTTGTGAGGCTGAAGCAGGATTGCCCAGAGTTTGAGGCCAGCCTGGGCTATATAGTGAGCTCAAGATCAGCTTGACCTACATAGTGAAACCTTGGCTCAACAACAACAACAACAACAACAACAACAACAACAACAACAACCATACACACATTAAAAAAACAAACAAAACTGAGGAAGATACTTGAGCCTTGGTCTTTGTCTGCTAAGAACAGAGAAGTGAGAAAACAGACTCTAAAAGTTTACTCTGTTCTCACACATGAACCTCACCTTCCCAGTGGGGTCTCTACCGTTCTGCTTTCCCTCATCCCCTAGGAATTCTCTGAGCCTGCCACCTGCCCCCTACCTCTCTAGTTTTAAAAAGTTACTCTAAGCCACTAGCTTGTGAATGATTAAACACAAAAGGAACTGTGTCCTTCTCATTCGCCTCTATATTTCCCACCCTCAACTCAGTCTTGGGCATAAATCAGAGAGATCTTGAGAGGCAGAGAAGTCAGGTAAATTGCTCCAAGTCACACAGTCAATTTCTGTTTGGGGAAGCCAGAGTTCTGCAAAAAGCAGACCCTCTTTTAGTATGTCCATTTCATGATTTGAAAAAGGAGTTAGCGTCACTGAACATCAACTGAGTAGTTGGCACCATGCTGCGGGCCACAAGGCTATAAACGAGATATCAGTCCCATTTTATACATGAGAACACTGAGGCTCATCAGTTCAAACCCCTTACCTAGATTGCTCCTCACTCTTCCTACACACCTACTCCTGCCTGGAGAGCAAAAACTCATCCTCTGACCTCGAATGTAGAAGTATTTTTCTTTCTTTCAAACAATTCAGGAAGTCCTTCTCTGAATGCTTGGAATCTGGCAGTGATCCTTCTTGTGCTATCCCCCTCCCCTCTATGCTGTGTCCCTGAGATAGCAATTCTGCACTGTGCTGTCATAGAGTGTCTCATCAAACTCCGAGGTCCTCCAGGGCAGAGAGCAAGGGCCGTGTGCAGAACACACATAACTCTCACTCACCATGTACGCACACATTTTGCATATAGCAGGAAGACAATAACTGGGACATGAACACAGCACACAAGGAAGAAAAAAAAAGAGGAGGAAGGGAAATCAGAAAGGAAGGAAAGAAAGTTTCCTAAAGTCACAGAGCTGTGAGGTGCTGAAGTGGAGAGCTGAATGCTGGCCTGCTTGGTTCCAACAACTATACGCTTTCCATAGAAAATACACCAGCTCCTCTTACAGAGAAGCCATGCTCTTAGTACAAGACCCTTGTGGATTGCTCTTAGAATGTGGCACATGGCTCCTCTTGAATCATCATGTGTTAATCAATAGACTTGAAGCTTTCCTGGATCAGGCCAGAGAGGGTGATTTCCAGGGCGCCCACGATACAGAGAACACAGGGCGCACAGGTGGGAGTCCTGGGCAGACTCGCAGCCCGAGTCTGTTCCACTGCAGTGACAACAGTGCTGCAGAGGAGAGCAGAACTAGCCCTTGGCCCTCGTGATGACACTCAGGCCTGGAATGGTGAGGCACCGAGGCAACAGTCAGGGTTTTTTTCTAGGAGTTTTAGGAGGAAAAGGAGTCAGTACCGAAGTAAAATGCAGGGTCTTATTGCTGGGGTTCAGGAGTGGTTTTGGAGTTTAAACTCAGTTCAAAACTATGTAAAACAGGTAGTCCTAGAGAGTTGACATAATGGTGTGGAGAAGTTTTGTTTTTTTAGTGATTTCCCCCTCCTCCTCCCAAGAGGTTTACAAAAGGCATAGCATACACAGCACAATGAAAGTACAAATTACTCACTTGAAGATCAGGAAACATTTTTCCTCTCTGAAAAATTCAGTTATTTCCCCATATTCCACCCCAACTCACAGACCAACACAACTTTAACAAAGACTTATGTTTATGGTTTTTCTCTTTGAAATTTTATTTTAATAGTGAACTTTAAGTACTTTTGAAGCTGAAAACCACATGTGACTTTCAGTGTCACTGTGAACTTCCACAGGCTATGCTTTGGGACAATGGCCAAGACAAACACAGATTTTGGGAGTGAGAAAATTAGCAGCCAGTGAATCAAGTGGTACAAAAGGGGCGGAACCTTGTCCACCTCCCAGAGCGAGTCTGGAAAGTCCCACCCTAACGTGTTTTTCTTGACAAGGACATGAAGAAGGCCTGTGGACTGACTCCTCCATCTTTTGATCTTGGGGATCTTTTCTCCTTGAGAACTTTACACATAAGTCAGGTGAAATCAAATACATCTAAAATCAAAGAGAGCTGGAGATTTGTGCATACATATGCTACACAGAAAATAGAAAATTTCCTTCTTTAGTGAAGCATTTGATTTAAACTTTGAGGACAGAACCTCTGTTTCTAGATTAGATTACTCCCATATTCAAACAAAGCACCCTACCTCAGGGTTAATTATTGTCCTGGGAGGCCACTGAGGCTACCAGACTGTGTCATGGTGAGCTCTCTGTACTTTTTCTGTCTCTCACAGTTTTGAACTCAGATGTGCTGAATTTTTCAGTCTTTTCCTCACCAGTGAGCATTCATTCATTCCTGAAGTCAAGACTGCTGCCTTCCAGGTTTTCTGCCACACCTTTAAATAAGAACACCTAGGAACCCAGTGACTTAAAATCAGGTGTGAATATGAGCCTCCCAAAGGAGGTTTATATGACTTTATCATAAACCTCCCGAATCATGTGCCTCCCTGTTCAACACATTTAATGGCTGTCATTTCTACCCAACAAATCCAGTCTGCCCTGGCTGGTATGGTTTCAAGGTCCTCTAGCATCTGCCCTCTGAGCACACTGCAGAATCCTTATTAAGCTCTAGGTGTTTTCCCACACTTACGAGCACCCTTGGCCTCCTTGTGTGCTGTGTTCATGTCCCAGTTGAAGGGCCAGGTCCTTCCTGAAGGCTACCTCATGGACTCAGTTACAAATACCCTCTCCATGCTCCATTCTCAGATCATTTTAGGAGCAACCTGCCTGTGGCATCTATCACTTTCTGACTTGCAGTAATGTATGTTTTTAGGGCTATGCCTAGTTCTCTTTACTATCCTGAGACTCTTTGGAGAAGGAACCTGCAATCCCTGATACTACTGCTTGCTGAACAAGTACACAAATGAGCAGAACCAAATAGTTTGTCAGGCTCTGCTCTCTGACCACTTTCCCCAGGGTTCCCACCACAGTGCGCCCAGTGCTGCACCCATGGGCTCCTGCTCGATCCACTGAGGGGGGAGTGGCCTCCTCTTGGGGTAAGTGCTAAATCACACCTTGGCCCTTCCTTAGCTCCTCCCCCTCATTTGGGCCTTGTTTTCCTGTAGGAGGAGCTGTGCCACATGTCCCCTAGGTGGAGTGGCATGAGACCGACTGGGCACTCACCACTGCCAAGTCGCAGGAGCAGCACATCCTGGAGCCTCCGGTTGAGGTCGCGAAGCTCCTTCATTTCAGACACGAGGGCCCCGTACTCTTTCAGCTTCTTAGCCTGCTGCACCAGCTGCCTCCGAGTCCGCTCCAGCTCCTGCTGGAGGTGACGCATCTCCTCCTGTTGCTGTTGGTAGTTGCGCAGCAGTTCCTCATACAGAGCCCTGGGCACAGCAGCATCCTCCAGACTGTCCATGTCCTCCATGCTCGGTGAGGCCTCCACGAAGACCTCTTCTGGGCAGGTGCTGTGGCCCACACTCAGGCCGTTCTGTTTCTCCAGCCGAGCCACCACTGCCTCAATGCTCTTGTGTGCCACTTCACTCGGCTTCCGCCCCTCAGGTCTCTGTGTAGGACAACGAGAATCAGTTCAGGCAAGGGCAGCTGGGACTTTCTTGGACTGCGGCTCAATATTTCCCCAGACAATCCTAGAATCACAGAACCACAGAACATCAGTACTTGGAGAAACCTGTGGTAAACAGTCAAAGCCCTTTATTTTACAAATGGGGAGACAGAGGTTCAAAGTGAGGAATAGGCTTGTCCAGGTCCTATAAGCTGGTGGCAGAACTAGGTTTCCTGTGCTACCATTTTGCCATGTGGGTACATTTACTATGACTACCCTTCCATATTCCTCTGCCCCTGCCTCACATGATGCCTGGGCAAGTGTTCCTTCATGGGGTGGAAGGAAGATGCCCAGTATGTATTCACAGAGAATCAGGGTGAAGGCAGGCCCCGCAAAGCACCCCAGCAAGTCACTCTCAGATTGTCTCAACCACAAACACATTTTTTTAATAAGGGAATTTTATCAAGTAAATTTTTTCAAGAATGCTTTCGTTAGTAAAGATGCTAATATCTCTAATTTGCTCTAACCTAAGGCAATAAATATTTCCAACTTTCTTTCTGTAGCCACTGTCTACTCACTCAAAACTGACACTTGGCAGAAGCCTCATGCACATTTACTCAATTGGAAATGTCAAAAGACGCTAGCACTGGGAGATACTTTCAATTCTCAGTTTCTTCCTCTTTATAGGTGGTAAAATGGATTCCATCCAGACAGGGGAAGGACCACACTTAAGTTCGTGAGTTACACATCAGGACCTTCTTCCCCCATATCTGCCAGTTCCTCCTTCAGCCAGACAGTGGAAGTAGAGAAGACAAGTTCCTTTAGAAAAGAACCACCCATGGCACCTCAGGGGATGCACACTCAGCTGCCTGAGCAAATCCCAGCTACAGTGGAGAAAGCTTGTGCCGAGGATGACAGAGTTACAGGAACAACTTCAATCTCTTCCCCTGGGCTGGAGGGTGAACAGTTCTCTGGCTGAGGACATTAGTGGGAGGTGCACATAATGAAGGACAGAAGATTCTGGACAACTGGACTATGCCATAAGTCAGGTCAGGCCTGCCTTAATTTTTTACTTGCTTTTAGGAGATTAAAGGAAAACAAACCATAACTCTGAGATTGAGCAACATGGTAGAATCCTATGTCCTTCTACCTGCTGGTATAAAGGGCTCCTGGAACAGATGAATTAACCATCTAAAATCATACTGAACACTTCACACATTGGTCTGCATCACTATTGTGAGACCCTGACCACACGGACAGAGTCTGTCTGGTTAATCTCCATGATCCTGAACCAGCACTGGGCCCAGCCAATAGCAGGACACTAATGAATGTCATGGATTGAATTCAACTGCATCTTTTAAACTATGCTTTGGGAATGTGTTGTGTCCCAAATTAGACTGCAGTGAAATCAGAAGTCACCTTTTTCCCTTCTCTTCTCTTTCCCTTCCTCTGGGATATGAACTGCATCAAAACAAAACAAAACAAAATGAAATGAAATGAAACAACTAGCTTTCTGGATAAAATCTCTAGCATTAGGTTTTCAAAGTAAAGGCTAGAGGAGACCAATGGGGGCACACAGCAAGGAATGCACCATCATGCAAGGCTTGTGCTCAACTCCGAGACCCACAAATGCGCCCTGTGAACCTCACTAACAGCTGCTTTCTCCAGTGAGTCTAGCCTTGGTTGCTGGAGCAATCTAATAGTGACTGGCTTTAAATTGCTGTTCAAGACCAACAGCTGCTTCACTGGAACTCAGTGACCTCTCCAGAGCTGTGGGCCGGGGACAAACACATTGTTCCAAACTTCCAGCAGCGATGATCCTGCACAGACTGTCCAGACGGGACTGTGCTTAGTGGCACAGCATGAATCAGGGCTCCCTGGAAAGTAGGCCAACAAGGCAAATACACATTCACCATCCCAAGCTTCTACCCTGAAAAAGTCATGCCTTGTGACACCGGGATACATTTACAAGGGGAAGGAGACCAGCCTAAAATTCTTTATCTATGGGAAATATGAAAACTGCCCTGCATATTTCTAAGAAAAGTGAATATTTTGTTACCTTGATGTGTCTAAGCTGTAAATCTTCTTCCCCATAATCTTTAATTTCCCCATCTTCTTCTAGGTGACTGAGAGAAAGTTTGGGGATTTTTATTTTCTTCTGCATCACACTGTTTTCAAGGTCAGATTTGTCTTCTAAAATGTACATTAAAAGAACAAGGTTGATTATGAGTCCAAATACTCAGAAACCCCAAAATTTCAAATTCTAGAAAATAATTGAGGCCAGACCAGTTAAGCAGGAAAAGCAAACAAACTTGCTCCATCCTGTGGGCAGAGATCCTTAAAGTAGAAGTGCAGATCTAACTGGAGGATCCAGAGTGTTTGCTAAAACCATTGCACTCAAAGGGTTTAATTAATCTGCTTAGGGGTGTCTCTAAATCCATCTCCTTAAAGGGTGACCTTTCATGAAATTCTAGACTCCTGGAATTTGAGTGGCCCTAGACTTCCATCCAGCTTGAAGTGAACTAGCACATGAACACCAATAACTAAGACATTTCCAAGCCAAGTACTTTCCCAGGAAAGCTTGCTGAGTTTCTGCCAGCTCAGGTACCAGAAGGGATGGGACGAATAATGCCTCTTCAGGAAGTACGACCTAAGTTGGAAGGACACAGAACTCCCCTAAGCCCTGACGCAGATAGGATAAGGAAAAGCAGATGTGAGAAGGGTAACGAGTAACAGTTATTGCCCTTTTAATAATTCCAAATCCCAGGACGACAAAGTTTTGTGGACAACTAGTCTAACTGTCATTTCACAGATGAAGAAACTCAAATCCAGAGGATGCGAGATGCTCACCCAAGGAGTGAGTCTGAGAAGAGCTACATGGCAGGAAGCAGCCCCCTGGCGTCTTGCACTTCTGTGTGATCACAACACATACTACATGTTGTACATTAAAAACTGAAGTGCTACTCAGATACAAAGGGATATTATTTCTCCTCACTTTCTTATTACTTAAGCTCAATCTGAGATCATTTTTGCCTTATTACTGTACAGATTTCAGACTGTATTTCCAAGACCTGTCTCTCCCCAGAGATTTCCAAAGTAATAGTTCAAGCAGCAGGCCCAGAAGTTAAAATTTAAATCCACCATGGAAGTGATCCCTTGTGATAAAACTGTTTGTATTCTGGGATTGAACTGACACTTTGGGCACTATTGTTTCTTCACTTTCCATTAGGATATGTCAAATGCATTCTCTAGCATTTTGCTCAATGCATGACAATGGCATGTGGCCAAGAACTATCTGACCCAGTCTCCAAGGGTCTTTATGTGTAGGAAGGTGCGTGTGTGTGTGTGTGTGTGTGTGTGTGTGTGTGTATGTGTTCATGTACATTTGTGTATGTGCTAAACATGTTCTTATGCCTCTCCCAAACCAAGCTTCTCTCTTATAACTTGTGAATAAAGTCGAGAAAGAGGCATACTGTTGTGAGTTGCGTCTACATGTCCCCCCAGAGCCTCATGCAGCCATAGACAGTGCTTTATGACTGGATCTGGAGGGAGTGGTGCTGGGATCAAGGGTATGTGCTTACTAAATTAGTCCACTGATTGGTCTGGCTTACTTCTGGGCAGGATTAAGGGTGCCCCATCATGGGTATGCGTAATACCTTCTCTGACAGTAAGGACAGAAAATTGTTGCTTGCTGCTTGCTTGCTACTTTGGTTGCCATGTTTGCCATGACCTGTTTCTCCTCTGTGCTGTCCCTCTGCCTTGCCACCTTGACTTGGAATAAGCAGATTACGGACTGAAATCTTCACAAATTATGAGCCTAAATAAACCTTTCTTCCTTTAACTTTTGGTTTCATGTATTTTGTCTCAGCAATGAGAAAAGCAACTGTGAGAATTATAAAGTAATAAATGTTTTTAAAAGTACTCAAATGCTAAATCTTCTGGATGATCTTGCAAAGGGAGCTCTACTTGGTTTGAGGTGGACTCTAGTACATACCAGAAAGATCTGAATAAGACCCTTAACTCTTCCATGACCGGCAGAAGATAACTGAGCAGAGCTCAGTGTCTTTGAGCTCAAGCCTCTCCTCTATAACAGGAGTTGTGGGGCTGAGGACAATAAATCACACAACTCACCCAACTATGCCTGGCACACTTGGCACTCAGTGAACAGGATATTATACTTGGCATTTTCAGTATGGCTGAAGCATTTTATTTTTTCAGCATATGATAGATAAAGTTTTAACTTAAAAAACAAGAAATGACTTCAGTAGGGTATGGGTATAAAGGAAATGTTCAGAAAAAAGGAAAGGTGGTGTTTGTTAACAACCTCCTGCTGATGAAAATGGCCCTTCCTGCTGGGCAGGGGAGTAATCACTGGGTTCTATTTTCACAAGAATGACCCGTTCTCTTCGTGCCTATAAAATATACCCAATGGATTAGGCATGAACCACAGCAAGGACTTGTATATTTCTGAAAAAGTAATAGCTTCCCTCCTACAAAGCACTGTTGACTCTTTCTAAGGCAAAAAGCTGCTAACATGTAAAACCTGAAGAAAGGACTAGTGTACTCATGCACAGACATGTGGAGTAGGGAGAAGGGATTGAATGAGAGTGGGAGAGAGAATAAGAGACAGAGACAGACAGACTGATAGACAGAGATATGGCAGATGAGAGGTGGCATTAGGACTTCTGATAGTGTTTGGGGCAAAGCTTCTGAGTTAGTCTTCAGTTTGACAAGTTCAAGGGCAGTGGGTTGAGATGCAGCCAGAACTGGAACTGCCAAGCTATGCTTTGTCTCCCTGAGCTGAAACCTGTTGCTCAGGATCACACTGGTATGGAGTTGGTGCAGAGAGAAGCAGTCACTCAGATTCACAAAAGACAGTGTTATTTAAATAGGAAACAATCTTCAGACCATTTTGTTCAACCCTCTGAAAATACCTATGAGGAAGGTAAGGCTCAAATGGTAAAGTCTATGTACCCATCTGTGCAGCATCTGGGCCCAGGGGTAAGCAGGGAAGTGCAGGGTCTGTGTCTCAGAAAGCTCACTATTCTTCAAGGTCAGAGAAGTCAGTGTCATAATATGAAAATACCAGAATCTTGGGGACACAGATGAGTGGGTGTCCAGATGGGGACAAACATAAAAACTCAGGAGGTGATAACCAAAGGTCTCCAATACTGAACTGAATATAGAGCTGCTCTAGTGTTTCAGGAGTAAGAGAAACACTTCTGCCATCGGTGTAACCCTAAGACTTTCGCAAGGAGGTTGCACCTGGGCTGGCCTCCTCACTTGCTGGACAATCTTAGGTAAATTACTTCTCTGGGGCTATTTTCTCATTTGTAATTTAAAGTAAGTAATTCTTACATTTGCAGAATGCTATGAAGACGACTGATTCTATATGCTAAAAACTTGTGCCACTGAAGAGTTGGCACTTAAGCGTGAAGAGTCAGTGAACATAAAAGGATAACCATTTAAGGACAGCAAAAATGAAGACCATACCAGAGGAGGAGGGAGAGAAGAAGAAAGAAAGTTTTAAAGATATTTAGACTAAACCATAAAAGATGGTTAGTTATAGGCAGGAGGAAGATGAGGGGGTTGTGGCTAAAAAGAAAAATATCCTATCAGTTCAGAAGAATGAAGCTTCAGTCTTCAGCTGTATGGGAAGAACCAGGAGTCAGACAATCTGGATTCCAAGTCCAGTTTTGCCACTTGATAGGTGTGAGGATTAGCAAGCTGCTATCTCTGCGTGCATTATTTTGCTCTTTTTGTAGAAATAGCGATATAACTTATAGCTCCAAATCAGCTTAGTAAATGTGCCTTGGAAACCACAAAGCCCCATGCTGGAAAACACTGGGTGACAGCTCAGTGGGCCCTGCCTGCTGGCGAGAGACATGAGGTTGGCAGGCTTCTGATATTAGTGTCCTCCCTCACTGCCTGGCTTGAGAGGGTGACAGGAGTGTTCCCCTCTCCTTCTGACCACAAGTGATGACAGGAGCCTCATCCACACCAGCTTGACCACACACTCTGTGCTCTCCCATCAGCCTGAAAGCTTTCCTCCTTCCTTGCCTGCTTAACAAACTCTGTAGCCCCCTTTTCCTTCTTAAAGATCCCATTACAAAATGAACATATTTTCTTTATTGTTCCCTTGCCAGCTTAGAGGTCCCCCTTCCCTCCTGGAACGTGAGTCATTTCAGAGGACTGAATAAAACAGGCATTCAACAAACAAAGATGATAACTAAAAGTACAATAAAAAGAGGCTACAGCAATAAACACAAGAAAAAATGCCCCGCAACAATAGTCAATAGGGAAATGTAAATCAAAAGTGTAATGAGATATCACTTTATATTCAGGATGGCTATAATTGGAAAATGATTAGGGGAAGAAATATCAACTACTGGAGATGATGCAGAGAAATTGGAACCCTCATATTCTCTTAGTGGGAATATAAATTGGGGAAGCCATTGTGGAAAATAGCTTGTCAGTTGCTCAAAAAATTAAACATAGAAACATATGTAGCAATTCTACTCTTAGATACATACTCAAGAGAAATTAAAATATATGTCCACACAGAAACTGGTTTGTGAATACTTATAAAAGTATTATTTATAATAATCAAAATGTAGAAACAGGCCAAATGTCAAGCAACTTATGAATGGAAAAAACAAAGTGATATATCAGTACAATAGAATCTTACTCAGCCATAAAAATAAACGACATCAGTTCATGTTTCAATATGACTGAATCTTGAAAATACTGTGCTAAGAAGCCAGACATAAAAGTCATATGTTTTATGATTCTATTTGTATGAAACATTCAGAATAGGCAAACCCATGGATACAGAAAGCATAGCAGATTAGGAGAAGGGGCAATCCAAAGTGATCGCTTACTGGGTAACAGGGACCTTGTTTTGGATGATGAACGTGTTCTAGAATCAGTGGTGATGGTTACAGAACACTGTGAATATTCTAAGAAATCCTGAATTGCACATAATTAAACTGGTGGATTCTGCTAACGATACTTCAATTTGAAATATGCTACTAACTATCTAGCCGTAGCGTCTACTACAAATATGATGCTACCACATAGCTCTTCACACATATGACTACAACCCTGAAAGTTGGCTTAACTGCATTTTAAAAAATGAATCTCAAAGAATGGAAACTCCCTCTCTGAAGTCACCTAGCAGGGAAGATAAAGAG